GCGGGGATGCGTCTCCGCGGGGGGAGGCTTTCGAACCCAAATGGTAAAGGGATAGAAGTAAACCCGTGACCGTGGGAGCTGTGGGACCGCCTGGTCCATCCCACCATCCGCCTGTGGTGCAGCGCAATAAAAGGCTAAATGAGTTTGCATGCAGCCTGCAGGCTTCTTCGGTGCCTAATGAAGAAATAATGAGCCTGACTTCACTGGGTAATGGATAAAAGACAACCAGCGGCCTCCTGCCCTCTCCTTCCCCGTCTCCCCACCACCCCATGGCTGAACTGCAGGAATTGATGGTGCAGGTCCCCGGGGTGTCACTCCTGTCACCCGGTAGCAGGGCTGTCATGGCAGAAGGGGGTCAACTCTGTCCCTTGCAAGGACTGTCCTCCCTGGGGTTTGTACCCCGTAGCGGGGACCACACGCTGCCGATGCCCTCCCTGTTCTTTTTGCTTCATGCCATTTAAAACCATGAAGTATGAAGTTTAGTACCCAGAGTTTCCAAAAAATGACATTTTTCTACAAGCTCTGATCCTATTACTTATACAAACACCTGGACTGTTACAGCATCATCTTGTATACAGGACTTTCCACAGCCATCAGTGCTGCGACCCCGTCCCGTGCTGGGCAAAAGTCATAAAACCTGGTTACGGACACAAACCCTGTAGAGATATTACCCAACAGCAGAGCTGGGGAGTCTTCCCTGTAAAATAGAGTTTGAAACAAGGTGCTTTTTCTGGGCTCTTCTTCACAGCCTTAAGGAAATTAAAAAAAAATATTCCTCTGTATTATTTTTTTAAGGAGAAAAAATTCTATAATATTTTAATGGTTGGAGAGATTTATAGTCACAGAAATGCCTGTGCACTTAAAAAGAAAGATGAGGGTCCATCAGAAGGATGCAGAAATCAATACAGCCTTCCTCTTCTTTAATGCTGTTTCTCCAGGAGATGGTTTAAAAGCCAATGCCCTCGCAGCAGGCAAGAAGGGAAGTGCGCGGGATCAATTCTGGAGTAAGGCTTGGATGAGTCGATGCTGAATAAACTTTGGTTGGAAGCCCTTTACAGGAAGAACAAGGGGGTGATAAAATAGAGCTGCTTGGAGAGAAACCTTCTTTTCCCACTCTGGCGGCTTTTTAATGTTTTTCCTGCTGCGTGAGAGTCTTTTAAGATGGGGAGAAGCTTTGGGGGTTGGTTTGATTTGTGTCAGTGTGGGTCAGGAGAGCTGTAGCAAATCAAAAAATCAAAGGTGGGGTGGTGGCCAGCTCTGGCTCCTCCGAGCCCCGCGGCCGGACGGGGAGAGGGGCAGGGAGGTGCCGGGGGTCTCGCGCCCACCCCAGCCCCTCACCGAACGCCCCACCGAGGAACCCCAGCCCCTCTTCCCCAGAAAGGGTGCAAGGCGAGGGGCCGAGGCCGGGGTTGCACCCAGCATGGAGGGGGTTAAGGGGCTTCTGCATTCCCCCAGGCGCTTCTAATGAGCCCAATCAGGGTCTCCTGCTCCCAGGAAATTGCCCCCACCCCCGGGGCAGTGCTTTAAAAGGAGCTGGGGGGTGGGGGGGAGCTTTGCTGCAGAGGGGAGGTTTGTGCAGGGGTCTGTGTGGCTGCTCCGGCTCCATTGTGCAGGGGGGTGGGCTCGCTCGTGGTTTGGTCTTTT